ACCCAGGTTAAGGTTTTTAGGCTTGTATAAGAACTAATATTTTATTTTAAAAACAGTAGCGAATTCTTGAACACACCGAAATTCTCGTCATAATCCTGTTAACTTTTGATGTTCATCTTATATCCAAACTGCAATATATATATATATATATATATATATATGATCTTATATATATAATAAGACGGATAAGACAATTGGTCGAAATGGCTAGATATGATGCATTGGAGGCGGGATACGGCAGATGCGGATGGATTGAATATTTTGATTGTGAAGGTGGGTCGAATAGGGCAGTGAAAGCGGGGGGGGGGGCGGTCAAGAGGGCAATGATAGGCGGTGACGGTCAAAACGAGCGGGAAATGCAGAAAACAGTCGGGTGGCAAGGGCGATGAAGGGCGTTGTCTGCCTAGATGAGGCCGATGAAGGGATGAGGGCGGGAAAAAGGAATTCGAGCTCTCTTAGTCATAGCTGCTAAAATAACTAAAACAATTAAATATCACATTTCAACATCTAAACTCTCAAAATTATTAACATATAAATAGTTTCAACTACCATATCTCATTATTCAAGCAATTGATAATAATAATGCCACATCACCAATACAATTAGATAAGGCTGTATTTAAACCAGCTTTATAAGACTTAACATTCTGATAATAAATTACTAAACAATAATAAACTAGTCCTAAACCATATATACACATACACACACACGATTTATGAATTCAATACGTCCGTAACGATTACGAAAAAAATATACTTTGCACAGAACTTTGTAAGAGTATTTTATTTCATTTGCCAATGTTTGGATTCATTATCCAACTTTCAGGATTAATTGTACAATTAGCTATTTTGTAATGTAATATGATTATTGTTTTTATAAATAATAAATATATGACATTCCTTTTAACAAGACAGTGTTATTGTTTGTACCGAGTAACACAAAATTAATAACGATAGAAAAAAATTGGCGAAATAAACAATGAACAAAAATACAAAATTTACACACTATGAGCAAACTATAGGACTGAACCAAATGATGGTAGTTCACGAAATAGCATAAACAACTTCAAAGCATGGAAAACAACTGTGTCAAAGAACGTGCAACATGTGTTTACTTTCTAGCGTTGCCAACATTAGCGGAAGACGCGCGAAACCTGCGTAACTAAGCCGCGCCGCTAGATCGCCTCGAGGGGACTGGTGAAAAGCATTTGCCGTAAGCTCGCTTAAATTTAGAAGTTAAATTTCGAGCCAGCTTAGCAAA